ACAGGCGCCTGCCACAACGCCCGGCTGTTTTTTGGTTGCAGCCGTCAGTTTGGCGGGCCCACGCTGTACACCCGCCAGCTCAGGTGTATGTGGCTGGCGCCTTAGCTGCTTGAGCCACAGGCACCCAGCCAAGGCCTTCTTTTTAAAATCCAACTTATATCTCCTTCAAGAAGGCTGGTACCTTAGTGCCTTTGAGCTCTACAATTCTTCCATCCATAACTCCAAAGGTAGATCCAAGTTTTGTAGGATATTTTATATTTTGCAGGGTCTCTTTAAAAATACAAAGAGGATCCCAGAAGTGCATTAATGTACATAGTTACCATTCAATTAAAAAAAAAAAGACACAGCCAAGAATATAGTATAAAATAAGAAAAAAAAAATACAAAGAGGGCGGCGCCTATGGCTCAAAGGAGTAGGGCGCTGGCCCCATATGCCAGAGGTGCTGGGTTCAAACCCAGCCCTGGCCAAAAAAAACTGCATAAAAATACAAAGATGCCTGGTGTACATGCTTGCTTTAGCAGGACATATACTAAAATTGGAACAAGGATGCCTGGTCCAGTGGCTCATTCCTATAGTCCCAGGTGAGGAAGGAGGATCACTTGAGCCCAAGAACACAAGGCTGAATGAGGTATGATCTCCCCCTATATGTGCAACAGAGAGGGACCCTATCTATAAAAAAAGATCAAAGACAAGCATATTCAGTTTTGGAAAATAAGCCACAGCACATTACTGGAATCTTGGAGGTTGGTTTCCCTCCCTTTGAGATCTCTGTGGACTATTTACCTGAAATGTTTTCTGACAGCAACCTGGTTTCCCCTCCACACCAAAGCTACTCATTCCACCCTTTTTAGTACTCATTAGCATTGTGCTAAATACTCCACATCGGATCGCCCACCCTAGACTTTTTCTGTCAGCAAAGACCCTGGCAGTTCCCCTGAGTTCACACACACAGCTTTTCTCCTCTCCTGTGGACAGGTGCGTCACTGGATCCGGGTGGTGCGGAGAGCCTCGCACAGCAGCCACAGACCTGGCCCGTATATGTCCCCAGAACAGTGTAGGGACTCAATTTTTCCATCTATGAAACTGGACCGCCCCATACCCTCCCACGTGACCGTCCTCGGGCTGGGAGGGCACTAGGAAGGCTCTGTGAACGCCTGCCTTACTATACAAGCGCAAGCCTGTGACACCCCCCCCATACCCCGTCCCCAGAATTCAGAAAGGAAGTCGGGGTGTTCGTTCTGGCTTTGCCATTGCCTCTCGGGTGACATGTCTGAAGCCAATTTCTACTCTCTGGCCCGAAGGGCGTGGAATTTTTCAAACCCACCTTGCCCTACCGTTCCTTCCGGGTGGAAGGCGAGTCTGGGACAGAGGATTCACCCATCCCCCGAACCTAGGAAGGTAGCCCCGCCTCACAAGAAATCTCGCGAGAACCTGTTTTGCCACGCAATTAGGATGTTTGGCCTTCTTCGGTTTCTGTAGCTCCGCATCGCCGTTCCTGAGCTAGTGCTTCCGGGTGGTGGCCGGGAAAGCCTCCGCGGTGGTGCAAGCGGAACCAAAGCCCGGAGGTTTCAGTGAGTAGGTGACCAACCAGAGCTTGAGCGTCCCCCTTTAGTCTCCTCCTTCGGCTGCTTGAAGAACCTGGTGCAGCTTAGCAAAAGCACCCGGATTTCTGGATCCCCAGCCCCATGACTCAGGGGCTTCTGTCCAGTCCCCGTTTCCCCCTCCCAGGATTTCGATTCAGTTCCGCGAAGTCACCACTTTGTCTGAGAGATAAGGAGACAAAGGCTTACAGCACAGTCCCAACGCTTACAGCGTCACTCAGGCCCTGTCCCCTCCCTCGGTTCCTCTGGATCAGCACTGAGACCCTGTCACTGCTCTAGGTCCCCTTCTCCTGGGTCCAAGGCCCCGTGTAAGCTCCTGCTTCAGCCGCAGGCCCCTCAGTTACCCTTGTATCATCTCCCTGATTGTCCGCAGGCCTTGGGAGCATGGCCTTATTCCGATCGGGCCTCTTGGTGCTGACGACGCCACTGGCCTCCCTGGCCCCTCGCCTGGCCCCCATCCTGACCTCGGCAGCCCGGCTGGTGAATCACACACTTTATGTACATCTGCAGCCAGGCATGAGCCTGGAGGGCCCGGCTCAGCCCCAGTCCAGCCCTGTGCAGGCCACGTTTGAGGTTCTCGATTTCATCACGCACTTCTATACTGACGCCGATGTCCACAGACACCTGGACGTCAGAATCCTGCTGACCAATATCCGAACCAAGAGCGCCTTTAACCCTTCCCAGCCCACCTCAGTCCAGAATCTCGCCCACCCGCCAGAAGTGGTCCTGACAGACTTCCAGACCCTGGATGGAAGCCAGTACAATCCAGTCAAGCAACAGCTAGTGCGTTATGCCACCAGCTGTTACAGCTGTTGTCCACGACTGGCTTCGATACTGCTATATCCTGATTATGGGACTGGAGAGCTGCCTGTGGAGCCCCTGGATGTCCCCTTACCCTCTACTATCAGGCCAGCTTCCCCCGTGGCCAGGTCTCCAAAGCAGCCGGTGCGTGGCTACCACCGCGGGGCTGTGGGTGGCACGTTTGACCGCCTGCATAATGCCCACAAGGTGTTGCTCAGTGTCGCATGCGTCCTGGCCCAGGAGCAGCTTGTGGTGGGAGTAGCAGACAAAGATCTGTTGAAGAGTGAGTGAGAGGGACCCTGGATTAGGGCAGTGAAGAACTCGAAAGTCTTCCCCCACCCACTAGCATGGCCAGATTAAGGAAGGGTGGGGCCGTACATTACTTTCTGCACCTCCCAAATGTTACAGTGCCAGACACTCAGTGCTAAGGATGTGTTGTAATTGCAGCTTTCTCAGCACGTGATCTAGTTACCTCTCAATCAGAAATCCCCAAATGTGAAGCAGAGGAATCTGCACTTTAACAAGTTCTCCAGGTGATAAACCCTACTGAGACATTGGGAATATATGAGTAAGTGAGTTGTAGGTAGTAATGCCACAGACAGTAAGAAGAGATTCAAGGATGGTGTGCTTCTTGGAATTCTCCATCTGCTAGTTCTCTGGAGTAGTTTCCTGATGGCTTGTTCTCTGAACACATGCCAGCCCTTGCAGTCAGTGACTATTGTGCTTGCCTGGTTCTTCCCCCTTTATCCTCCCACCCCCACCACACTTTCTGTCATGCCCCTCTGGAGATATGGTGCTTAGGGACACTCTTTCCCAAACTGACCCATACTCTTCCTCCCCAGTAAAAAGATCTCACAGTTCTTCTGGGCTCCTTCCCCAGGCAAGGTGCTCCCTGAGCTGCTCCAGCCTTATGCAGAACGCGTGGAACACCTGAGTGAGTTCCTGGTGGACATCAAGCCCTCCTTGACTTTTGATATCATCCCCCTGCTGGACCCCTATGGGCCCGCTGGCTCTGACCCCTCCCTGGAGTTCCTGGTGGTCAGCGAAGAGACCTATCGTGGGGGGATGGCCGTCAACCGCTTCCGCCTTGAGAATGTAACCCCTCAGGGAGATCGGCAGAGGGAGTGGACGGGGATGGGGAAGGCCATCATAGGGGCTGTTGGAATTACCATGGCCCTAGAGGAGGGAAGGGGGGTTCAGGGTGGCAGGAAGAAGCAAGGAGGAGCTAGTTCCCAGCTTGTCCACTGAGGTTGAGGTCATAGGGAAGGATAATAGGGCAGGTTGGGTGTCAGGGTTTCCCCTTTTTCCTATCACTTTCTCCTTCCCTCTTCTCACTCTTTCCCCTTTACTTCAGGGCCTGGAGGAGCTTGCCTTGTACCAGATTCAGCTGTTGAAGGACCTAAGCCAGAAGGAAAATGAAGAGGACAAAGTCAGCTCCTCCAACTTACGCCAGCGATTACTGGGAGCCCTGCTTCGGCCTCCACACGTAAGCCTCTGTTTCATTCCCCACATGTGGGTGTGCTGGAAATTCTGGTGAGCAGAAACTAAGGGGCTCATCCCTTAGTTGGGATGCCCAAAGGTGGAGAAAGCCTGGGCCCTCCTGCAGGAGCGCATCCCCAACCATGAGCCTGAGGACCCTTGTAACTGTGGGTTCCTTTTCATCCACCCCCTAGAACAGGCCAGAGCTCCCCCCATCTCTCTATGTGATTGGGCTGACTGGCATCAGTGGCTCTGGGAAGAGCTCAATAGCTAAGCGGCTGAAGGGCCTAGGGGCATTTGTCATCGACAGTGACCAACTGGGCCATCGGGCCTATGCCCCAGGTGGCCCTGCCTACCAGCCTGTGGTGGAGGCCTTTGGAGCAGGTAATAACTGGGAAAGGATAGGGGTGGCTACAAGTGAAGAGACTGCTTGTCTTCTTTGCTTAGTCTTTTGTCTCTGTCATCCAGATATTCTCCATAAAGATGGCATTATCAACAGGAAGGTCCTAGGTAGCCGTGTGTTTGGAAACAAGGTAAACACTTTTTTTTGAGACAGAGTCTCATTTTGTCATCCTGGGTAGAGTGCTGTTGTGTCATAGCTCACAGCAACTTTAAACTCCTGGGCTCAAGAGATCCTCTTGCCTCAGCCTCTCAAGTAGCTGGGACTATACCACACCCGGCTAGTTTTTTTTTTTTTAGAGATGGGGGTCTCATTCTTGCTCAGGCTGGTCTTGAACTCCTGAGGTCAGTCAGTCTACCCACTTCAGCCTCCCAAAATGCTAGGATTACAGGCATGAGCCACCACGCCTGGCTAAACACACACTTTCTTGGGTTCCTCAGCTGCTATCGGCTGCAGGGGTTGGGATCCAGTGCACCTGTCTGGTTTGGTCCAGAATGCCCATTTCCACTCATCTGTTTGCACCTCTCTTGGGCTGGCTCTGTCTCTGAAGGAGACATTCCCTCTGTCCCCCTCTCCAGAAACAGCTGAAGATACTCACAGACATTATGTGGCCAATTATTGCAAAGCTGGCCCGAGAGGAGATGGATCAGGCTGTGACTGAGGGTGAGTGGGAGGGATGATGGGAATAGCCAAGGGGGATAGGAAAGCAGATTATTCCCCCTGGGAGCTTCCTTGTCCAAGCCAGAGGACTGGCCCAAATCAGTCCACTTATTCTCGGACTGTGTTTTGTGGGAGCTCTGACTGGTAGCAGATGCTGCTGGCAGTGACAGGTCTCCCCACAGGAAAGCACGTGTGTGTGATTGATGCTGCTATGCTGCTTGAAGCCGGCTGGCAGAATATGGTACATGAGGTGTGGACTGTTGTCATCCCAGAGACTGAGGTATCCATACCCCACCTACCCTCCTCTCCCCACTGTAGAATAGACTGTATCGCACTGAGCCAGACTCCTTTCTGACAAATGCCTTATGTGTGCCCAGGCTGTACGGCGCATCGTGGAGAGGGATGGCCTGAGTGAAGCTGCAGCTCAAAGCCGGCTGCAGAGCCAGATGAGTGGGCAGCAACTGGTGGACCAGAGCCACGTGGTGCTGAGCACCTTGTGGGAACCACAGATCACCCAACGCCAAGTTGGTCCCCAGGGGAATGGCTGGGTTGTGGAAAGGGAGTCCTCAATAGGTGCCTGCCTGACTTGGTCCTCTCTTTCTCCTAATATTCTGGCCTGCCCAAAGGTGGAGAAAGCCTGGGCCCTCCTGCAGGAGCGCATCCCCAAGACTTGTCAGGCCCTTGACCGCAAATGAGTTCAACGTGGGCCACGTTTGCCCCTAGAGCTGATGAGATCCAGGGGTGAGGAGAAGTGGAGGCCTTGATGCTCACCCTGGCTCAGGGCTAGAGGTCTCCAGGCTAAGCTGTGCAGGACATGGCTGGGCCTGGTGGACACAGGCAATCTACTGACCATGCTGGGGGTCTGCAAGCACCGAGAATGTGGCTGGTGGAGAACAGGCCCTGCTGGGGTTCCATCCCCACTCTTGCCCCAGTGTGCCTGATATCCACAGCTGACTGGAGTCAGGACAAATACTGAACTTGTAACATAATTAAAGGTGAATGTTTTCACCTGGCATCAGTGCTGTGTGGTGTCTGCTTTGAGATTCCTTATGTTGAAAGCACAGGGCCCGGGCCTGAGCTGGAAGTGCAGGAGTGCAGTGGTTAAGAGTGTAGCCTTTGGCTCAGTGCCTATAGCTCTGCAGCTAGGGCACCAGCCACACACACCAGAGCTGGTGGGTTCGAATCCAGCCTGGGCCTGCCAAACAACAGTGGCAACTGCAACCAAAAAATAGCCAGGCGTTGTGGTGGGTGCTTTAGTCCCAGCTACTTAGGAGGCTGAGGCAAGAGAATTGCTAAACCCAGGAGTTTGAGGTTGCTGTGAGCTGTGATGCAACGGCACTCTACCCAGGACAACAGCTTGAGACTCTGCCTCAAAAAAAAAAAAAAAGTGTAGCCTTTGAAGCTGACTAGCTGTGTGCGTCTGAATAAACTATAGAGACGTTTAGGATCCTTCAGTTCCCTCATCTGTGAGTCAGCATAACTCAGCTAAATGGCTCTTTGCAGAGGTTAATTCTGGTAGTGCTGGAAGATCCTACAGCACCATGGAGCTTGCAGGCTCGTGGGGTGAGACGATGTGACAGGGGAGCTCTGCCCGGTGCCTGATACTGGCTAGGGTTGCAGGCCCAGGAAGGACGGGGACCGGGTGACGGTGAGACAGGGCCAGGCTATGCGCACATTATCTGCGACGATATTAAGACAAGCCTTTTGAGGGGACTTCCTTTTATAGAATGTGCTTCATGTCACCGCCATTGTAGTTACTAACCTGGGGGAGGGCGGGGACAGACCAGGCGCACATCCCCAGAGCAGCGGACACAACCCCAATGCCAAGCTTAGCGGGTTCCAGCCAACTTTTGCAGCCTTCGGACCGCGCACGCGTAATCATTTCACCCCGCCCTCTGCTCCTCGGCCGCGGATTGGTGAGCCTGGACCATGTGGGCGCGCCTCGCCCCTTCCTCGCGGTAGGGGCCCGCCCACCGGCTTGTTTCCGGTTCGGTGGGTTCAAGATGACGGAGTCGGGCGCCTCTCCGGAGGACCCCTGGGTCAAGGCAAGCCCCGTGGGCGCGCACGCCGGCGAGGGGAGAGGGGGGTTGAGCTCGTGCACGTAGGGGGTTCGGAAGACTGGCTTCCCTTATGTCCCCAAAGTTCCTCCTGCTTTCCGGGCCCCGGGGCTGCAGAGAAGACAGCTCTCTCCCCGCGTGTGCCAAGGTGGGGAGACAAACGAAGCGTGTGCGCGCTAGTGTGAGGGATCGGAGATTGGGGGTTCAGGAGGTGGAGGGGCGGGAACGGAAGGGGTCATGCGGAGGGGCGGCGCTCCCACAGCTTGTCCAGTTTTCTCGGGGATTCGTTCAGTCAGCTGCCTTTGCACCTCGGTGCATGTGTGTAGGTGTGTAGTTTTAGAGGCATCTTGCCCAGGGACGGAGGTATGATGGGCTTCTCCTTTGATCGGTGCCACAGGTGGAGTACGCCTACAGTGACAACAGCCTGGACCCCGGTGAGTAGTTCTCCCATCGTCTTCAGCTCTAGATCTTTGTGGCCTTGCCAGCCACACCTGAGCACAGTCCACTGCCCCTGAGCTGAGTTCCTGGCTTGAGACAGCAAGGGAGGAGCTGTAGGACCAGAGGCAGGAAGCAACTGGGGGCGACACTTAGTAGTTCCTGCTGCGCTAAGGCAGGGAAGTGATGGAAATAGTGACAGCTGGTCACTCTCTCTCTCATCATGAACAGGTGCCCCTTTATGTGCCAGAGGGTACCTCAGCCGACCTGTGGAGCAGTGTAGACAATAGGGACAGGAACATTGCAGCATTGTATGGCAGGAAGTATGTGGCTCAGTATGGCTGGCTTTAAGTTGAAGTGGGAGAGGTCAGCATTTAAGGAAGCCATTGTGTCCATAGGTGTCTGAAGGACAGGCAGTGTTTCCCACCCCACTCCTTAGTGACGGGGGCCTCTCTTTCCTAGGGCTTTTTGTAGAAAGCACCCGCAAGGGGAGTGTAGTGTCCAGAGCTAATAGCATCGGTTCTACCAGTGCCTCTTCCGTCCCCAACACAGGTAGGCAGCAACATCCCCCCCACCTGGGGGGGACGCAGATATGCCATCACTTAGTACCTTTAGAAGCTCCAGCCATCCACATGTGGGTGCTGGAGCCCAAGTGCCAGACACAGGGTCTTATAACTTTTCACCTCATCGAGGACATTAGGTTCTTTTGTCTGCCATCTCTGGACAGCACATTCTTCCTAACTGGGGAATGGTGGGTTAGCTGGGTCCCATTGGGCCCCAAGATGACCTCTACCTGCCCCCAACTCTGAGGGTAGATGATGAGGAGGACAGTGATCACCACCAGGAGTCCTACAAGGAATCTTACAAGGACCGGCGGCGGCGAGCACACACTCAGGCTGAGCAGAAGAGGAGGGATGCCATCAAGGTGAAGGGGTCACCTATACCCCCACCCATGTGGAGCCTTCTGCATGCCTCAGATTCACCCTGCCCTGACCCCTAGAGTCCCAAACAACTTTGGTAATCCCTCAGCATGAATACTTCCTTCTTCCAGTCCCCTTACCCCTGTGAGTTATAAGCATGAAACTGTTATGGAAGAAGAGTTTAATCCCTTAGGGTTAAGGAACCCATTTCCCCTGTTGCTTTCACAGAGAGGCTACGATGACCTTCAGACCATCGTCCCCACCTGCCAGCAGCAAGACTTCTCCATTGGTTCCCAAAAGCTCAGCAAAGCCATTGTTCTACAAAAGAGTATGGCCAGGGAGAGCACTGTTGGGGGTTGGAGGAGGCTAGCACATCTGGTGCTAGTGTGCTAATGGGATAGTTGGGGTGTGGGGGAAGGGGAAACAATATTAGTCTTGTCTCCTGTTGAGACTACCTCTGTGCCCAACCCGTCTTCCCACCTTAGCCATTGACTACATCCAGTTTTTGCACAAGGAAAAGAAAAAGCAGGAGGAGGAGGTGTCCACACTACGGAAAGATGTCACGGCCCTAAAGATCATGAAAGTGTAAGAAGGGTGCTGAATTGGGGAAACCAGGTCTTCTGGGGTGACGTCAGTGCACCCCCATGCCTGTTCAAAGGCCACATCAGATAATAAAGTACAGATAAATAATATTCTTACTTCCTGAGCTAGCCACTTAAGAGGCGGGACTCTGCATCTCCAACTGTCCTTTACACATGACAGACACTCAGGAAATGAATGTTGCATTAATAAAGAGAAGGCTGGAGAGAGGTCACTATTTCTGGCCTAGAAGCAATACTTACCTAATGCTAAATCCATACCCAAACTCTGTTTATCCCCTTCCTCGGGGTGCATGGCATAATCCCATCATTCCTCCTGGGCTGGTAGGGCTGTTGCAGTGCCTCAGCCCAGGTCTGCATGCTTTCAGGAACTATGAGCAGATTGTGAAGGCACACCAGGACAACCCCCATGAAGGGGAGGACCAGGTCTCTGACCAGGTCAAGTTCAACGTGTTTCAAGGCATCATGGACTCTCTGTTCCAGTCCTTCAACGCTTCCATCTCCGTGGCCAGCTTCCAGGAGCTGTCAGCCTGTGTCTTCAGCTGGATTGAGGAACACTGTAAGCCACAGGTATGGGGCAGCAGAGGGTCTGTAGTTCCCTTGTACTCTCAGGCAAAGTGGCCCAAGCCATTATCTATTCAGAAAAGCATGGCAGCCACGTTTAAGTTTGAGGGTATTTCTACAATTTTCAGTATTGTTTCTCTCCTTTGCTTTCTAACCCATTTTCATTTATACTTTGCCAGTGCGATGTGAACACTCAATGCCAGAAGTGGCTCACAGCTTTTGTGTAGCCCATGCTATTGCTGCCTCATTGGTCACCTAAAGCAGAAATACTTGAAGTTTTTGGAAACTGTAGTGGAGAGATGTGCTAATGGTATTTCACTTAAGTCTTCTGCTCTGTGACCTCGTTGCTTTAACTGAGGCTTGAAGTCGAATCTGAGATTCATTCTTTCCCAACACTTCTATGCTGAAATGCTTTAAACATACTGTAACAGAATTTAACTTTTTTTTTTTCACCACGCATTTGAAGCCATATGTAAACAGAAGTTTACAATGGGGACTTGGTGCCCATAGCATAGTGGTTATGGTGCCAGCCACATACACCGAGGCTAGTAGGTTTGAACCTGGCCCAGGCCTGCAAACAATGACAATCACAACAAAAAATAGCCAGGCATTGTGGCAAGTGCCTATAGTCCCAGCTACTTGGGAGGCTGAGGCAAGAGAATTGCTTAAGCCCAAGAGTTTAAGGTTGCTGTGAACAGTAATGTCATGGCATTCTGCTGAGGGCGACATAGTAAGACAAAAAAGTTTATAACGTTTCAGGAAAAAAAGTTTATAATGGGCCAAGTGCAGTGGTTCACGCCTGAAATTCTAATACTCTACACTGTGGGAGGCTGAGGCGGGTGAGTTACCCGAGCTCAGGAATTTGAGACCAGCCTGAGCAAGAGCAAGACTACCCTCTCTACTAAAAATAGAAAAACTAGCCAGGCATTATGATGGGTGCCTATAGTTCCAGCTACTCAGGAGGCTGAGGCCACGGCACTCTACCCAGGGCAACAGAGTGAGACACTATCTCAATGAACACTGGTATATGTGTATCCACCATCTAAATTCTACCAGTAATAGTGTATTTCCATCTCTCAACCCTGTGTTGGGGGCCTTTCAGAGTAAACTGTAGGCATCAGTACTTCCCAGGGGTTATTTTAATGCACTTTTTTAAGGAGCATGCCTGGTCTAGCTAGGCATCTCTGAAATATCTCTGTGCACTAGCCTGAGCATTGTCCATCTCTTCTTGTGTTACCCCCATCAGACCTTACGGGAGATCGTGATTGGCGTCCTGCATCAATTGAAAAACCAGCTTTACTGACTGGCTTGTGGAAACCTGCATAACAGCTGGCAAAAGGCCTTTGTCTCTATTTGGCTGTGGAGCTACTGGGCCCATGAGCTTGGACTGCGACACCTCACACTGGTCAGCTGGTTTCTACTTGGTGTTTGGTTTACCCAGCCCCACTTCATCATTAGTAGGGCTGTGGTGTTTGTTTTGTGAAAGCTTCTGGTTAATTTATTATTTTGACCATAAAACTTGAGCCCCCCTCCCACCCCTCATCTTCCCTTTCCACATGGAAGTCCTTGGGATTAGAGTCTGCTCTGGGCACCCCAAAGAGACCCTGGCCTTTTAGCCTTAGCCCTTTCACTAAGCCTCTTGATTGATCTACATGTACTTGGAAACTGCCTCTGTTTTGGTCTCTTGGGTAACATTTGGCCCAAGTTTGGCCATTTTGGCAGGAGAAAAGGACCAAGTGAAATACTCTCATAGCTGTGAAAAGCTACCTCTTGCCTAGACTAGCCTGCTCAGTCAGTTCAAGGTGAGGCCGTGGCTTTCTGGCCAGCTCAGAGGAGGGCTACTGGGTTCTCCCCTGCTCTGGGTAGTAGGGGAAGCAGCCCTAACTATTCCTGCCCTTTCGGTTCGCATAGGCTGCTACTCTGCATGGCAAAGGCATGTGACACAGCACTACAACATTTGAAACTTTTTATTTTTCTAAACACCAATAATGCAACTTTGCTAAAGTTACAATTTTGGAAAATTAACCTCAAAAACCACCCCCAGCCTTTTGGTCAAGTATATCTGGGCCTCTGTCATCTCTCAGTATTGCTTGTGTTTCTCTAAGGACTTGAGGTACGGAAGATACTCAAAAGGTCTCCTGGGGTACACAAGCCCAAAACTCCTGGGTTGAACCCTGGGCTCCTCAAAATGCTGGTGTGTAGCAGCTTCTCTCTACCCTTGTCCCTCAAGCTCCCTTCTGCCTGCCTCAGGTTTGATATCTGAGAGTTCTGACTATCCAAAAGAAATGAAATATTTTTATATCAAATTATATTACAATAAACATTGCCATTGCATTGTTCCAAGTCAAAGTGTTAAGGGAAAACCATTGCCACCATGTGGACAGTTAAATGGGTGTGAACACCTACTCTTGGCCCCCAGCTTTCACTCTAGTTGACCTGACTGCTCTCTTCAAAGGTTGAAAGCAACAGGCACAATTAACAACCACAACAAAGGCCAACCTAACCAAGGTAGCCAGTCTAGGACATCTGTGTTTCCAGCCCCCAGTTCTAACAGAGGGCCTCAGGGGTCTGGGAGCTTGACGTTGTAATCTTCATCTGTCTCTATCCCAACTTCCTCCTGTGGGCCAGGGAGACAAGCAAGTGAGATGTCCCAAGGCAAAGACCCCAGAGGAGCAGATAGGGAAGAGAGTACCACTTACGAAGAATTGCTTCTTGCTCTTGGGGTACCCTTCAAGGATTGCATCAGACAGCTCTGTTGCCTGATAAACAAAACCACCCCCTTTCAGATGGGTAGCACAGGAGCACTCCCCGTGAGACCCATGATAATTAGGCAGTGGTTTCTCTGGTGATTGCCATTTTCACAGTTACTTCCAAGGCCTGCCTTAAATCTCCCACACACTTACCATCCTCTTCCGCTTCCTCCATTCCTTATGGTACTTCTGCCTCTCTCTGTATACCTGGAAGAAACAGGTTCCTCTAACCTCAGAAATACAGTGGCTTGCTAGGGCTCAGCCCTCACTTTCACTGGACCTACACAGCAGTCCTCGAGCCTCCTCCCAGCTTACCTGCTCTTTCTCTTCTGGAGTCACATGGTTGGTAGCTGCTTTGATGTTCTTCAGTCTTTCTGTGTATGCAGCACACTCCTTCTTTAACTCTTCAATCTCTTTCTGCATCTCCGGTGTGGTCAGGGCACTACTTAACTCCTTCAGCTCTGAAACCACATCCCCCTGGGGTCATTTACTACCCCTGAGGAAGGAGGTCTATCTTTCCCAGTGAGTACACCCTGAAGTGGGGCACAGGATTGCACCATGGTATGGGATCTTGCCAGAATAAAGTCTTATATTCTGGAAAAGCTGAGGAAAATAAGAAATACAAGATTGAATTTATATACTGGTTCTCTTTCTTCCTCCATCTACAAGTGGTAGAGTGTGAGGCTGAGGTGGTTTAGGAGGAGCCAGTTAAGCAGAAATAAAGGAAAACGGGACAATGTACTGAAAATCACAGCATGGAAAGCAAATGCATGTCTTGCCCACTTATACACAACTTTTTGTAGAACAAGAAATAGAACATCAGTTGTTCTACATTTCTTTTACTATAAAACCCAAGGCTCCCGGGAGGTGCCTGTGGCTCAGTGAGTAGGGCACCGGCCCCATATACCGAGGGTGGCGGGTTCAAACCCAGCCCCAGCCAAACTGCAACAAAAAATAGCTGGGCGTTGTGGCGGGCACCTGTAGTCCCAGCTACTTGGGAGGCTGAGGCAG